TCGATCCGCCTGAATACATGGTAATAGAGATCCCAAGCCTGGTGAGAAAATTTTGTCAATTCATTGGAAGGAGTTGAGCCATGCTCTGGGAGCCAAACCACTCAACGCAGTATAAAAGTATGGGGCACAAAATACACTTCTTTACAGACAGTTGGATACCCTAAAAATAAGAAATAACCCAACGCCAAGTCCATGATTACAAGTATCAATGTAGTAAATAATTAATTTTATATATACTGTTGAAGCAAAAGCTAACCAACATGTCACTGATGAGCAACTAAAATTTTATCATGGGACATCTCTATAAAAGCAAGTGTGAGAAAAGTTTATGAACGGTTGAAAATATAAACAGATAGAAATTAGTGGAGGATAAATGGTTTGTACTTCTGGATTAAAAGTGACTTCATTGTTTATAAATAGTTTATAAAATACAGAATAGGTCCCTCTTCCACATTGGAAAGGGCTAATCTTTCTGATTAGAGTCTGAACGTGATTACTGTATTCATTAAGGTTCTAATTACAGTTAATCAAACAAATCCCAAAATTAGATCTATTATTCAATTACTTTAGCAGTAAATATCACAAGGGATCCTCAATTTTCGAACCTTGTGACAATGAGGTCTCGAATATTCCAAATATAGACTAAGACAAAGATAATAACAATATTTTTATGCGAGTGGAGATTGTATACTTAAAATGCCATGTGTCCTTATTCTACTTTTTGGGTAAATAGGTGCCCAAACTTCTATCCATCAGAACATTTTTGTCCAAAAGAGATCAAATTTGCTGAAAACACAGTTTTTTACATCACGTTCAAATGAATGAAAAATAAATATAAACAAGGAAAAGCAAACAGAAACCTCCCCCACACCTTGCACCACTCCCCAACCTCATCAGTGATGCGTGCCCCAGATTTGGCTAGCATAACCGAAGCTCAATTTAAGTTTCCATCAACTCCTGAAGGTGGACAAGAAAAAGTCCTAAAGCCACACGTGTCACTTTTTTATTCTTTACATCCATTCCCTTTTTCTCCTCGTCTTCACAATTGATCATTACAAGCCCACATGAAGAGAATCAAATATTGCTAAAATTGTTAATAATTTTAGCAATCTAAAGTGTGGATGCAAGATATTCACACACTGTAGCCTGCTAAATTTTGGAATCTCTAAACTGCAAAAGGCAATGAAACTGATATGAAGATATTGTCGAGAGTTTTCGAGAATAACGAGGATTAGCAAAGAGCAATTATCTAGGTGTGAAGGGAAAAAAATGAAGAAATTAGATTTATCAGAAATTCTCACACTTAATATTGATGACTTCTGGCCTCAAATGTTTCGTAATTTTTTCTTCTTACTAATCAATTTATTATTTTTTTTATCCAAAACTGAAACATCCCGAGACACATGCAATCTAGCAAAATAAGTCAAGTGAATATCAGAATTTCTTCACACAAATACCTGAGTAAGTTCGGCATCTTTTCCAGTTCTTCTATATTTCATGCAGCATTCATATGCCTCCAACAATTCATGGCGGTATGCCTGAAGCACATGAAGGTTCTTAATATATAATATACTGTAATCAACATGTATCAAATGAAGGTTATGAAGAATATTTCTCAACTTAATTCATAGAAATCAAGTCATATTTCTCAATTAATGCATACATATTCCTATAAAGCAATTGATAATCACGAGAAAAAAGTAGCCACTGTTAAATATTGTCCTCTACACTTTGATTATAACAGAGATGATATACGTCCGAGAATTGGAGAAACCTGAATGAAGGCTTTCTCTTTTATGGTGGTATTGTTCCTCATTGCTCCTTCCTCAAGCATTTCATGCAATGGCTCAAACACCTTTAGCATTCCCTCAATGTTATGTTCCCCAAAATATAGCCGACTTGCCTCTTCCAATGCCTCATGCCACGTCTCATGCCAAAGAATTGCAACTCTTATCAACTCCGTAGACACGAGTTGAGCCTTTCAAATGAAAAAGTCAGTCAGCTAATTGCACAAATGAAACCAAAAGACTCACCAGTGTCAAGTCTTTTTTTCACCTGATCCACCAGTACACCACTATGCCGTTTAACTTTATCAACCACTTCATGAGCTGCAGCTCTGCGTAAATTGCTAATAGATTTGCATGCCACAAGAAGAGGGTACATAAGAGCCTGCAGAGGAAATTAAACGTGTTTTAATCTTACAAGTGAAGGTATCTTGCTAGCTCAAAGAAAGTTATGCAAACTGAAGATTAGTTAAGGCTTCATTCTGCTGATCTTCAAGTGCTCCAAAACTCTCTAGTTAAAGAAAAAAGTTGATGATCTATAACTATTATGTAACTCTCAGTTTAAGAGACTGAATGCTAAAGAAAAACATTTTCCACCATACTATCAGACATAACAAAAGCTTTACATTCTCTATAAGTTCTTTAGTAGTGAACTAATAGCCTTTGCTAAGAAAATCACACTACTTCCTCTATTGAGTGCATGTATTCAAAAAAATTATGTCTTCAACTCTAAAAGTAAAACTGACGGCTACCGTTTAAGCAAGTATGAAGAAAATCTAATACTGGATCTCTTCCCCCACAGATATTTTAACAATGTAAAGCTTCAATCATCATGGACGAATTTAATTTATATGATCAAGATTGTTGAAAAAAGGGAAAAAGATATCCATTCAATACCACTATGGTTATTATTCCTCTAAAGCTCTAAATTCAGAGAACTATTGTTCCATCAATGACAATACATTATCATGGTCTGCAATTCCTAATGTCCAAATGTAATAGAAATATAATTAAAAGCAATATTTTCAAAACCAGCCAGGACATCGTCCCAAAAAAGGTAAAGGGGGTCGAATCAATTGTCATAAATTATTTACAAAAAAATTATAAGAGTGTAAAATTCAATTTTTACACTAAATTTCAGATATATTAATTTTCTTAATAGTTTTAATTATTCTTTAGAAATTAATAAAATTATAAAAAATTGGGCAAACATTTTCATGGAGTGGAATAGTGAATATTTCCCTTGTTTCCCCCTCATTTCGGTACCACTGTACAATAGCCATTATGTATAGTAGCACTTGTCCCACATCGAAATTTATCAATTGCAACAAGAGAAGGGAAGGCTATTAATATAGCTACAAATTAATTTTTTTATTAAATTGGCAATTGAAAACAAGAACTGTGACTGGTTCACCGAGTTCTGGTTGAACCACCCAGTTCTCAAGGCGGTTTTTCAAATTGTGGACTTTAAAGGTTAACCAGCCATGCTGGGCCAGATTTAACAACACTGATTAATACTTTCTCACTTCTTGTTTCAGGACACTGTCCTATATGTATGTAATAGAATGTTTGGCCAATCTTTAAAGTCAGACTTAATATAAAGTAAATTTCTGTTACCAAACACATTTGATTTTACTTTTTGTTTTTTCTTACTTATAATATAAAATTTACTCATTTTGACAATCAGGTGGGGATTAGTTTCAAAGTAACTAATTTTTAGCTTTGACCATCAAAAGAACTATTAATTTTAAAACTTAGTCTCAAGTGTGTGTGTGTCTGTGTGTGTGTGTGTGTGTTTTTTTTTTTTAAAAACTTAAACAAACATGCGCCAAGTCCCTTACTAATGACATTTCCATTCACCAATCAGCGGAAAATCTAGGTGCATGACACCCAAGTATCACATAAAATCAAACCTGCGGATGACTCTGGCCAATCCGTACTAGCAATGATTGTATTAGTTCCCTGACAGCATGGGTATTGGAATGTATCCTCGCAATTATCTGAGGCAAAACAACCAACCATGTGTTGATATTAACAAGCGAAAATCCTTTCTGCAGTGCCATTTGGACCTCTGAAGTAGCTCCGTGGTTGAACCACAAAGTGAGGAGACGTAAAATATCCTGCAATCAAGATGACACAGGATAAAAACAGGAAAAAATAATAAACTAGTAAAGTTTCTGAGAAGGTAATAGAACCTACAGAAATAAATTTGAAAAAAGCACCGACATAAATAAATTCAAAAAAAGATTGACAAAATCATTTGACAGAAAAAATTAAAGATAATAGGAAAACTTGAACTGTTAATGACCAATTCCAACAAAGCAGGCAAAGAATGACAACAAATGCAGTTACATTATAAAGGGGATAATTTGTTCTTCACAAGGAAAGTGCTTTAGACAGAGCAAAATGAACTGATCCCAAGCTCATAGGGATACTTTTAGTAGTGGAAGACTAGACTCATTTACCGTGGGGTAGGGGCTTTTCAGAAAGTAGCTCTGCGCTTATGTAGGACAGGATTTTATGCTTCTAAGTGTTACCTGCAAACTATCATCCACTCCTTTGGCATGTGCAGCACAAGCTATGGAGTGAAAATATCCAGTCACAGCCGCAACAACAAATTGTCCAGCAACATTAGGGAAACCTCTCAGTGTGTAATGAGACATTACTGCTGTATTGAATAGGGCCCATGTATGCCAAGCTTTTGCCCACTTTGTTGCACAGTGAGTAGCACTTCGGAACGCATTAAGAATTTCTGAAATCATAGGAAATTAATCACCAGAAAGCTATCAATATGTCAAATTTACTCGCTCCAGTAGCTACCAAATCTTCTACATTATCTTTTCTTCAATTTTTTTTTTTTTTTTTTTTTTTTTTTTTTTTTTTTTTTTTTTTTTTTTTTTTTTTTTTTTTTTTTTTTTTTTTTTTTTTTTTTTTTTTTTTTTTTTTTTTTTTTTTTAAAGGAGGGTGTGTGGAATTCAATCGATTACCTTGAATAGAATCATCATCCAAACCCGGAGAAAGTGCCCGCTGCCAAGTTCCTAGTTTAAGATATACACGGGCAAGGAGAGGTATATTTGAACTACCCAATGAGCTAGACTGTGAAGCTTGTTGAAGAACTGGAGTTCTTGAGATGTCTATGGCCAAATCCTACAACAGAGAAATTTCAGGGATGATTATCCCCCAAATTGAGCAGCTATCCTTTGCATTTACCACTTAAGAAAACTTAAAGCTTACCTGCAGTCGAGCGAAGGATTCTTTACGCCTATTTTCATCTCCAAGTGACCATTGGTATTCTAAATAAGCTAGAATTACTTGAGGATCCCCATGATACCGTATAGTTTCAGGAGTTGTTTCAGGATCAAACTGTAAGTGTTACAAGGAGAAGTTAAACCAATAGATGACAGCACAAAATGTCTATAGTATTCCACTAATATGCATCTCAAACCTGTAAAAGCTTAATTAAAGTCGATCTAGCTTGACTAAGTCTGCCACTTTTACGACACAGAGAGGCAAACTTGATCCATGTCTCCGCATCCTCAGTGGGTGGCAGAACAAGAGACCTGACAGTCAAAAGTGCTTGCCAGACCTGTAAATATAAGATTTCAAGCACTTCAGCGGCAGAATGAAAAAAATATAATACCACGTTCCAAAGGAAAACAAGATGTAAGCTAGAGTGTGAAATTTGTATTTGCGGACGATGGGAATCAATATCCACTCCACATTAATAGAACAGAGATAGGCCAGCCAACCCACACCCAGACCCAGACCCAGACCCACACCCAACCCCAAAACCAAACATATTATTGCTCTTTAACATATTAGCCACTTAGGATTCTATAGTTTCACATAAGAAGTTAATTGGAAATGCAGACTTCTGTTAAGCAACTGGGCTCATTCTCGTTAATATATTTAGCACAGTAACAATCTTGACCAATATGAGGTACTATATCCACTTAATACCTTTAGCGCAGTAATACAAGTCAATACCTTTAGACAAGGAAAGAAGAACAAGAGTATGACTAACGTGACGTAAACATGCCACAACTACGGAAAAAATGGTTTTCACATTGCATTTTGCTCAAAGAATCTACAAAAGAACTGCCTAAGAATATGGTGCTAAAGGAAGAAAAAGGCCAATTGATGATGATAAATTTTAGTTTCAAATAAAATATAGTCTAACTAATTCATAGACAGATGCTCGTTTAACTATAAGATGAGCAGGTACAGTTCGTGGAAATGCATTTTTTCCCTCCTCTACAAACTCCTAAACTACAAAGGAACAACTCAAATTAATTAGCATATTGGCTTAATATCTGAATGTCATTGACTTGTCAAATTGACATTTTTAAAAGAAAATAAATGAGAAGAAAAACCAGCCTAGAGAAATTTTACCTCAACATTACGCTTCGTTCCTTTTATTCGTTCATTCCACATGTTACGAATAAGAGCCCGTCGGCCCTCGGCAATAGTACAATAATCAATGACCTATTCAAAAAAGACATTTCTCAATAGGCTGATAATGTATCAAAATGTTCGTGTATGTCAGTTAAAACTGCAAAACAACATGAAATGATATGTGGGTCCATACCTCCTCCAGTTCTGATAGTTGCTGAACGCGAACCATATTGCTGTATGCACGTTCATAACTTTCAAGAACCTATTAAGTGGTAAATTTTAGACATCAGTTTTTAGAAAGAAACAAGATACAAAACTACAATAGTTTCAAATGTAGTCATGTCATATTCAATGTTTGCTAATATGCCAAATAGTTCTTGTAAATTATAAGTAACATCACTATTAAGAGTCAATCAAATGTAGTGTACTTTAACGTGTTACATGATGCAGTTAACGAACAGAATACTGTTAACAAGGGCTTCAGATCTTCTAGGGGCTATACGTTTATGGGTTTGCAGGGAAAATTGATAGTTCCATTAAGTTAGTTAAAGTAGGGGAAAGATATTATGGGAATTAAGTAGAATGAACTGTACAGCCTCTAACTACCAATAGGCCATTCAGGCAGAAATTGAGTATTGTCTTGGGAGAGAATTAGAGCCTCTCCCGAATGCTCTACAATTTATTGTATTTCTTTCCTGCTTGTTCCACGCAATACAAATATATGAATACAAAAAGAAGACTACAAAAGACAAATCTGTTCATCTAAATTTGATCGCAGAAAACAATACGAACTCAGCAACTGATCAGCAGGATCTTATCAGAAATTTCCTGGACAATGAGAAAAAATATTGTTCCCCCCCCCCCCCCCCCCCCAAAAAAAAAAAAAAAAAACCTCGATCCAGCTTTGTCTCGACTCAGGATATATTCCTGAGAACTCAGGAAAGTAAGGAAATTCTGGAATCGAAAAAATTGCCCCTGTTCCATGGAAATGAAAGAAAACAAGAGGAACACTAACTTATGGGTCTTTTATCCTAATCTAAAACTCAGCTTTAAGACAAAACTAGGTTGCAAGACATTGCAGAGAAGCCAGCACCAGAGCTTATGAGAATTTAGAGACTCCTGATTATAGTTCCTTCTACTGACCATTTCATCGATTGCACATTAAGTTGACTACAAGTTTGCATTGTTTTAAGTATAAAATCTTTAATGTACCAAATCAAGCCATTGCATGGTTTTGCAGTATCACGATATTTTCACACTTAGATATAGGAGTATCTTCTTTTTGGTTCGGAATTTTGCATCACTTCCAGACTAAGCCATTACAATACACTACATATGAATTGACCACTTCCAGACTAAGCCCCTTGTGTGTGTGTGTATATAAATATATATATATATATATTTATATACACACTAATTTAATTATTATTATTACCTAATTTATGAATAAATAATTTTGTATATGATTTTTGAACTATAATCTTTAAAAATCAGTTCCCATGTAATTTCCACTTATCCCAATCCCAATCCTAGTCCCATTCGGATTCATAAAAGCCCAATCAAAGGAAATCAAGAATTAATCCCCTATTTGGTGGGATTAAAATTAGATTTTGATAGAAGTTGATGAAATGTATGGTTGAAAAGTTGTGTACAAAGGTAGCTAAGAAAGCTAAACTAGGTGTCCCACTGGAGCAAAGCAAAGGCAAGGGAGCTAATAAAGGTGAGACAGTGGAAAAGCCAAAGGCACAAGCCCTTACTATACTATAAAGGAGATTTGAGCGAGGGGGTGAGGCTGAGGGTTGCTTTTTATTACATAACGTTGCATCCCGTCAAAGGTTATTTTTTATGCATGTAATGAAAGAGCATGCCAGGTACTGCTTTCAGCCAATGAGCTACTAAATGTTTTTTCGACGCCAGGCACTATAAAGAAAGGACTCATGAATGACCCAATCCCTAGCCCTAGTTCTTTGATTCAACCGCATATGTTCTTCGCCATTGTGAACATAAAGGTGAAGCCTTCTCCCATATACTCATTATAAAGATAAGATGTTTGACAACTTCTTGACCGTATTGTGTATCAAGAACTGAAGAAATAAGTTAGCAGTACTAATGCACCTAAAAATAATAGTACTTAAGCTTAAATGATATCAGAGGCCAATTTTTAACTGTCTTGCAGCCTGTTTCATTGCACTAAGAAAAAAAGGGGGAGAAGGTACGATAAAACACAAGAATCTGTAGCATGTGCATAGAAAGGACAAGATTTTTTTCATTTCTTTTTGGTTTTTTTCCTCGAGGTGTTTAATTGATGAAAAGAAAAGCCACATCATACAGAAAAACAGTTGAACAGAGTGGCGACCTGTGTTTCAAAGAAACAATGATTAAAGAAGTGGGAGAAACTAACCAATGCAGCCAGCTCTGTAGCCAAGCATTTCCTTGCTCTCTCAACATATTCGCGGGCTTCATCATAC